TAGGTCAGTGCTCCCCCATTGGTCAGTGCTCCCCCATTGGTCAGTGCTCCCCCTTTGGTCAGTGCTCCCCCATTGGTCAGTGCAACGCCTTTGTTTAGACTTCCCCCATTGGTCAGTGCTCCCCCATTGGTCAGTGCTCCCCCATTGGTCAGTGCAACGCCTTTGTTTAGAGCTCCCCCTTTGGTCAGTGCTCCCCCTTTGGTCAGTGCTCCCCCATTGGTCAGTGCAACGCCTTTGTTTAGAGCTCCCCCTTTGTTTAGAGCTCCCCCTTTGGTCAGTGCTCCCCCATTGGTCAGTGCTCCCCATTGATCAGTGCAACGCCTTTGTTTAGAGCTCCCCCTTTTGGTCAGTGCACCCCTTTTGGTCAGTGCACCCCTTTTGGTCAGTGCACCCCTTTTGGTCAGTGCAACCCCTTCGTTTAGAGCTCCCCTTTGGTCAGTGCTCCCCCTTTGGTCTGTGCTTGCCATTGGTCAGTGCTCCCCTGTTGGTCAGTGCTCCCCTGTTGGTCAGTGCTCCCCCTTTGGTCATTGCTGGCCATTGGTCAGTGCTCCCCCTTTGGTCAGTGCTTGCCATTGGTCAGTGCTCCCCCTTTTGGTCAGTGCTCCCCCTTTTGGTCAGTGCTCCCCTTTTGGTCAGTGCTCCCCATTGGTCAGTGCTCACCATTTGGTCAGTGCTCCCCCACTGGTCAGTGCTCGCCACCCAACTTGGCAGCCCAGCCCTCAGTTTGAGAAGTCCTGGTGCCTGTCATTCACAAGCTGGTTCACTTCTGAAGCAAAGTGAATGAAATTTTCAAGGCTGCATGTGCCGGAGATTCCGAGTGGTGGCTGTCTACAAAGTGGGAACTCAGGAGAGTGATGGGCCAAACAGCCTCCACCCACTCCCCCTAAGTTTCTCGCTGCTGTTCCTTCCTTAAAGATGGTTTCAATCTGAAGCTTGCAATGTATTTTATAGCTGATTGCCGCTGTCTGAATCTCCTGTCAGCCATAGAGATCCACAGCACAGGAAAGGGGCTGTTCGGCCCATCGTATCCCTGCCAGCCAAAAGAGAGTACCTAACCATTCGAATCCTGGTCAGTCTAACTGGAACCTGTACACACAGGCGCAGTGCGAACAGTACAGTGCAGCCTGTTTGGTCAAGAAGCGCCATGACCCGAGCTGTTCATCTTATTCTCTGTGTCTTCCGCACCCCCACTCCCTCCCCCAAACTCTCTCTCTCTCACTCTCTCTCTCTCTCTCGTTGCTGCAGGTTCTGGTGGTAGGCAGCTCTGCCAACACCAAATGCCTCGTCGCCATGATGTCGGCACCCTCCATCCCACCAGCGAATTTCTCGTGCCTGACGCGACTGGGCCAGAACCGAGCTCAGGCCCGGGTAGGTGCCACCTGGAAGAGATGGCGCGCCCGAGGAGCCATTGCCTGTCTCCTCCTGCTACCCCTTCTCCCACCCCCTGGTCACCTCTCCTGACCCCAGCGCAATGCCAGCCCTGAACCCCACCCGTGAACAGGGTCACGCATGCTCATGTCACTGCCTCAGGAGACGTTTCCCGATAGCGGGGACAGAGAAAGAGACCACAAGAGCTCGGACAAACAGCTCAGTCTTCAGAAGGGTTCGAGGAGGATTGGGATGGGGGTATGGGGGGGAGAGAGTTGGAGAGATTTAATTAGGGAATTCCAGAACTTTAGGACTTAGGAAGCTGGAGCGATGGGAATTGGGATGCTCGAGACCGGGAGTGTGAGGAGCCTGGAGGTTTTGCCGGAGGTGGGGTGCGGTTTGTAGGGAACGAGGAGGTTTCAGTGATAGGGAGGAGGGGAAGCTGAGCTCTCTACTGTTGGTGGGCAGGGCGGGAGAGTTGGTGGGAGGTATTGCACAATTGGAGAGGGGTAGGAGGTATCAGAGGGAGTGGTTTCTATGGCAGCTGGGGGAGGTGATGAAGATAGGGAGGGGTTGAGATCCAGCGTGTCTGCAGCATTGCTGTAGGTTACAGAGATACAACATGACTGCGATGTTGTGGGGAGGTCTCGTAGGGCTGGAGGAAGTTCCAAGAGGTAGGGAGGAAGTTTTAAAATCTCACTGTGCGGCAGCACGTAGGGTTCAGGCTTCACGGACGGATGGCTGTGAAATTTCAGGGGATTTTTGTTGGGCTGATAGATAGAGACCGGGGTGGGGGTGGTGGTGGTGAGGTATCAGAGGCAGGGGTTTTCACAATTAGGGGAGGTTACAGAGATCAGGTGGGGGTGGGATCCCCCTGGTGGGGGTGATTGTAGGGCTGGTGGTGGGGGTGGGAGGTTATGAGAGGGTGGTGATGGTGATGAGATCTCAGGGTTTCGATAGAAGTTGTAAGGGGTGACATTATCAGAGCAGGTTACAAAGAAAGGGTAGGCAGGTGGAAGCTGAGGTTGGACGTTTGTTTGGGGAGGGGTTGAGATCTCCGGGAAGCCCGGTGAGGCTGTGTTTGGTGGGGCGCGTGGATTTTGATCGTCTCGAGGTGAGATCCTGGGTTAATGACGCTGACCGTGTCGTATCGCTCCATGGTTGCAGCTGGCCCTCGCCCTGGGGACCGGCTCAGGAGCCGTGCGGAACGTGATCGTCTGGGGCAACCCTTCAGGCACGCAGCACCCCGACATCGAGCACGCCACGGTCACATGTGACTCCCATCCGGTCAGGCTGCAGCAAGCCGAGAGGCTGCCTGGAGACTCCATCACGGTGAGGCACTTGTCGGTGGAGCAGGTGAGTGAAACTCTTTCCCCAGTTCCTGGTGCCATCTGCCTCCCTCGGTGACTGACCTTGTGCTTATTTCGCACTGTCTCTCATTCTCCCTCCTCAGGCTGCCCAGCAGCGAGGGGAAACTGTGATGGGCTGTGCCATGTCGGTTGCCAGTGCCATTTGTGACCATCTGCGGGCACTGTGGTCTGGGACACAGGAGGTACGTTGTCTAACGGGGTGATATTGATGGTATAGACGAAGGGATGGGGGAAATCGGTGACTTTGGATTCACTAATGTATCTCGCCCGAGCTCCCTGCCCAGAGCCCTGTTCCCTCTCGCTTTCCCCGCATTCTGAAGTTTCAAAACACCTGCAGCACCCCATAACAAGACTGAGAGGGCCAAACGGGTGGCAGGGGGAGGGTGGGTGCCTGACGGTGGGGGACACGGGTTTGCTGACTCCATGCTCCTCATTGTGAGAGCGTTGCTGTAATCCTCGTCAACTGCACAGTGGGGAGGAGCAGAGAGTATAATATGTGGGCTCAGTGACATTGCCAATGGTGGTGGTTGGGGCAACGTGAGTACTGGTAATACACACATACATACAGACAGGGAATTTCTATAACCAGCTCCTGGTATCTGAGAAGCAGGAAGGGCTCCTCACAAAATAATTGCACCTGTTTCAACAGCCCACACTGTCTGCCAGTGCTAGCTCCCCATTGGCCCATACCCATTCACTATTGGCCCAGAGTCTCTTGTGTGCCCACGCCCGGTCACTGTGTGCCCACGCTGTCTCACTGTTGACCCATGCTCACTTACTGATGCTTACTGTCTCACTGTTGACCCACGCTCGCTCACTGTTGACCCACGCTCGCTCACTGTTGA